AAAGATACCAGATTTACCCAAAGAACCTTGTCTGCCTGTCCTTAGGCCAACATAGCTACAACCTATACCCCTCAATCCTTAGCTCTCACTTTTAGTAGGATGGGTGTCAGGGAAAAGGAAAAACACATGGACAATCCTTCAGTCACCATATTCATGTCTTAATTTCAAGATGATCGCAACCATAGCTTTCAAAAAAAGATGCTATGGCCTATGTGAAACACATATGGGACCTGATCAAAAACCCACAAAAAACAAAAAATCAACAGAACGACTCCCAATGACTTCAATGGACTTTGGGTCAGGTAAAAGATTTCAAAAATGACTTGGCTATTTTTCTTTCAAAAACTGATGCTGGGGACCAACAAATCTGAGCACAGCTGAGTACTCGGAAGGTTCTTCTTCTCAAGATATTATGGCCTCTTCCCCTGTACTTCAGTGATGATGAACTTGGTCCTCCACTACCAGTCTTTATGGTGTTCAGCACCTGGACTACTGGGGAGACAAAACAGTTTACTGGGAAAGCCTAATTGATAACAAATTCTCCTCTCCCTTTCTGACCGTTGCACATAATTCCCTGTCTAACTTGCTCAATTCTTCCTGGCCAGATCTTGTCATCTCTGCCCAGAGGGAGATCATCTTGATTAAACAGTGAGTAAGGTCTTTGGGATTTGAGCCCTAAATAACTGGGTTGTTTCCAGGAGATTGTCTCTAGGAGAAGCATTTCCTGGGATGCTAGAGTCTTTAAGGAAACGGGAATTTTATTCCTTGATGTACAAATGGCCAGATGCATTCTGTTTGGGTTGATTTTCATTCCTCTCTCCTGGTGTTATAGTCTAGAGTAGGGATCAGAATACCCCAGTTTAAGTCACAGGTGAGTGGTTGTTAGGACCCAGCCACCACTTCTCCTTGCCATTCAGCTGGAGTGTGGAACAGCAAAAGCACCCCTCTGCCAGAGCCCCAAGTGACTGACTGTGGTGCAAAGCAGGGAGAGCCCCCCATTTCCAAATGCTGTGGCAGCTGCCTGTCCTGTGAGCTGTAGGTTGCTAACCTCTGGTCTAGAGATTTCTGAAGCATCCGGATTCTCCACATCTGTGGATAGGAAAGTGAATGGTGGAACCAATAAGTTGAGATGTAGAGAATCCTTCTTCTTAAATGCCTGGCTGATGAATCTCACTGGCTACACTCATGGTCCAACTGATGGTGAGATATGGGGTCAAAAAGAAAATTCCCCCAAGTCAGATTGGCTGGGACTGCAGGGAGTCAGGGGAAGGGGTTGATCTTCCTCTGCAGCATGGAGCACATGAGACCACCTGGACAGATGTTATCCTATTCCCTGCCTGTTACAAACAAGCAGATGCTCTCCTATTCCCTGCCTGTTACAAACAACAATTTAGAGTCCTGAACACTGAAATTCCTTATTTTAACCTAAGTTATTGGGCTTGGTACAGGTCAAATTTCATGGTCTGTGATACTCCAGGCCAAATGACATGATATAAAAGTCCCTTTTGGCCTTCAACTGTCTAAAAAGAGTGGGCTGGTTGTAATATTTCCACTGACTGCAACCAACACAGCATGCCCCAGAAAGGAAACGTGCTCTGTGGTACTTTGTATTGAACCCATTGACAGTTAGCATAAGGGACCTTACAGCAGATACAAAAATACACTACAGTGTCCACCCACGCCCAGCACAGAGCCCCTGGCAGGAGGCCTCTCACTGACGTATAATGCCTGGTGAGATGACGGCTGTTCTTTTGATCTGGTAAAGCCCTCATATAGTTATACACTGTCCCTCAGGCAAGATCTATATTCCTAATTACCAAAATCATGGAATAAAAACTTCAGGACTTGGCTTAGTCCATGTCCATAGTTCTCTATGTACAGAAATATTTTTGGTGCCCATAGCCTTGGTACCTGGAGAGGCATTTACAGCTTTTAAAAGTGAGCAGACGCATTAAGTTGCCTGCGACCAGACCTCAACTTTCTGTTATTTCCACTCCCCCAGGTTCGATTTTATGTCTGCTGATCTGACTCCTTATAAGCTTGAGCTTGTATAAACTGGATGGTTTATGTTAATTTGTATGAGCTAAAGATATTCTACTTCTTTTTTTAAAAAATACCTTACTGAGGGCCTGGATAGTTGCACATTTATACTTTTTTAAAGAGAGATCAGGGACTTACCACCTAAGAACATGTGTCCATTCATTCACTGCAACTGTTTCATCTGTCCAGACTGAAGCTGCAATAAGCAAAGCTATACCATAATCATTTACCCAAAAATGAAAGAGGGCCTAAATTATTATGGCTTAGTTTCCATTTACCATGGACAAAACAACAGCCAAAAACAAAACAGAAACAGCTGAGTTATGGTAAGATGTTTTGTGCCTGTTTGTCATTTGTGACCTCTACAATGGAACTGGCATGATAAGTAAGGATTAATGTTCTTCCATTGTATTTACACGTTATTTTTGCTAATACTTTGCCCTTCTGTGGCACCTCTCATCCAAAGATCTCAAACAAAGGAAGTTAATTTATGCACAACTGATGCACCAGTGAGGTAGGACATTATCCCTACTTCACAGATGGGTAAACAGAGGCACAGGGAGAGGAAGTAACTTTCCCCAAGTCACAGTAGAAGAATGGTAGAGTTAGGAAAAGAAACAAAAGGCACATCTACACTGCCTTCCACCTGTGCTAGAGAGCACTATACTGAAGTACAGCATGCTGCTGAGTGCCCACTACACCCCAAAGTCATGTAACATAGAAGCCTTTGGTGCAGTGCTGGTGCACACCATTACACCTCTGTCTTGGGAGTGTTACTGGCATGTGCCACGCACCATGCTAAGGGCAGCTACATTGCATTTCTTCAGGTGCAGTGTGTGGGGTGCACAGGCCAGGCCTTACTGTGGCACTTCCTCGTGCAGTCCAGAGGCAGAGTAGATCTTCCCAAAAAGTCCAGACTTTCATCTCCTCTTCTTTAGCCATCACATTATATTCTTCCCCACTCAGGAGTCCTGACTCTGAAGCCTCCTTGCCCCAACCACTGCACTGTGCTGCCTTGATCTAAAGATTCAGACTGATTCAGTCCATAAAGTTAACTCACTTAAAAAAATGTAAAAGAGTCCTCTGGCATGCCGTCACCACAACTCCGCTTGCCCACCGCAAGGGGTTAATGGTTACCTTTGCTACCAACTAAAGAATCAAGTCATCTATCCCTTCCCCACCCTGGGATTAAGAGAAATCAGAAATATCCCCCTTCTTACCTTTCAAAGTGTTATCATGCCAATCCAGATGCAGGGGCCATGCATCCTGGGCTCCTAAGTGAACTTTACCAAAAAAAATAAAAAATAAAAAATAAAAAAAATCTAATTATCCCAGCAAGGTCTCTTGTGAAAGGGTTTGTCTGTGCCCTTCCCCAGTGAGGGCTAGGAACAAAGTTGTGGGGCCAGTGGGGGGGGGTGGGGGGGTTGGAATGATTGACAGCCCTGAACTATAGAATCATCCCTTACCTTAGGCCATGCAGTCTGATTGGCTGCCTGCTGACATCTTCAAGCCCTGCACTTTTTAATAGAAGCTTTTGGATGATCTACAGGGGGGTGGGGGGGGGAAGGCTTGGAGAGGTGCGTTTCTGACAAGCCAGAAAGTCATTCTGCACTTCAAGGGACTTTGTTCGACTATTTTTGTGGTGGGGGGGAATTCTTCATTTTCACCCTTAATGTTTTTCTGAAAACTTCACTCAGCTTTTTCCCTTGCACCAGCCTGGACTAATGGATTACCACCTGCTTGGATTAATTTTATCTTTTCTCTTCAGTGGCACAAAGGTCTTAGCCGGTTACCCAATTTGGTGGTAAGATTCCCCTCCCCCCCCCCC